GGCCCTGGGATCCCGAAAACAGTCACATCCAGAATTGCCCAGATCACTGCGGATGTACAACGGCCATGAACTCCCATGTACAGAATGTGGAGCACGTCTAACGCGAACGTGAGGGATGGTGACGTATACAGGGCGGGCGAAAACACTGGGTTGCGATTCAGCAGTGGGCCCATGCAAGCCTGACCGCGATAGGTCGCGCGCCAAAACCTCACGACCAGGGGCAACGAGGCAGCGGAGAAATCGCCGATATCGCACAATTGCTCGGACGGCGCCAATCGATCACCAGCTTTGAGACCTAGTGACGGAACATCGTTTAGGAGCGCCCTCCCACGGGATCCAGATTTCCGCCGATCCCAGTAAAGCCTACCCTCAGTAAAAACCTTGTCGGAAACCGACGCGCCTGCGCGACCGCGGCGGGCAACCCCCGAGAACGCTGCCACCCGCCGCCCCGTCACAACCCTCTCCGCCACACGCGCTCCGTGGCGCGACCGCGCGCTCTCGGGGGCCACCTTGCGTGGCCGCGCTTGCGCGTCGGTGTCGCCTTAAGTCGACCGGCTTCGTTGTGAAGCACAACGACGTGTTCAAGCCGCTGACAGGAAACTTCGTAATCATCCAAATCTGACTTCTGGCCCCAGTGGTCACTGTCCAACTCAACAGGGTCATAGTCATGTAAATTCTCGAGCAGCGAATTGCACATAAACACGGGGAAAACATGCTGCCCAAACCCCGCAAACCGAACGTGACAGCCTGCTCCATTAAGTCGCCTTTCATCCAAACCACAACGCCTTTCCTGAGAGGCATGCCCGCCAAATCACCCCTGTGATCACCCGTGACAAACGGTGAGCCGTCGTGCATGGCCGAGGGGTATCGGCCGTCAATCAACGCCCGCACCGACCATGCTATCACGAGCATGACAGGGTAATGGCTACACCACCCTCGGCACCCGCACCTGCAGAATTCAGATTTCCTTAAGAATGCGACCGAATGTCTCCGCGACTGCGGTACTAAATGCATAAAGAAACCCAGCAGCGAGTCTGCTTTTCCAGTTCGCTCGCTCCTAGTGAAACGAATACCATCGGCGTACAGCGATAACAAAAGCGGAACATCTGGCCTGCACGCGCGAACGCCAGGGTGCCACCTGTATATTTGCTGCCACTCCTGAAAATCCGCATCATTTGTCAGGGGCCCAGGGTCCAGGGACCGAGTAGTTTCACACTCGTGTTGCAACGACTCATGCAATGGCAGCATGGGGATCCTCTTGGTTGTCCTACCAACACCTTTCTGATATATTGGAATGTCCAACCAGTAGTAATCGCTATCTTGCTTTCGGGGAATCGTTGGGTCCATGTTTCTCTGATACGTGCCGCCTGTGTTTTTCGGGTGCAAAGCGAGGTCGCACACGCCGCCCTCGCAACCAGCCCGCCCTCGCAACCAGCTCCCTTAGCGAACCAGCTTATGATGCAAGCGTCCTTTGCTGTCATTGGCCTCGACCCTGCATACATGGCAAGAATATAATTAAGCAAGTCATTGCCTGCTTGCTTGCGTTCAGCTGCTCTCAATTGCTCGGCCTGCCAGTCTTCACCCCGCGATTCCCCAGCCATGGTGCTACGACACCTGGCGCGTATATCCTGGGAACTGGGAGCCCGCCCTCGAGCCGAACCCTACGGGCCCCTGCACCCCGCCCCCTGGCGCTGCAACTACTAGCCGTCGGGCCCGTACCAGCGCCCCCAAGACGCCCTGGAAACCGAAACGGGCGCTCCACGGACAGCTGCGCCTCGCCGAGGTGCCGCAGCGACCCCTCGGGCCGGGCCAGATCCACCCGAAGCGCACCCGAAACCGAAACTGACCACCCGAGGCGTCTCCGAACCGAAACGGGGGGTGCCCGACCGCGATCGGAGTGGCGCAACACAAAATTCTGAATAATTAAAACTCATCAAAACTCATCGGAAACTCATCGGAAACTCATCGCTACAATCCCTGTGAATTTATAGTGTTTGAGCGAAACTCATCAAAACTCATCGGAAACTCACCGGAAACTCACCGGTATTTCATCGGTGGTTTCGTCGCCTCCGATCGCGGTCGGGCCCGACTTGTTCGGTCCGATCGGGTTCGAGTTCAGAATTTTCGCATCCGATCCGAGATTTTCGCATCCGATCGAGCTTTTCCCTACACAGCGCTTGCTGTCTCACCGCAGCAGGCTGTTGAGTGTGCCCCGAATCGCGGGCCCGCCGCCAGCTTCTGGTTTGCCGCCCCCTTCACCTCCACCTCCTCCCTTCCCTCCCCCCCGTACTTCCCCTCCCCCTTCCCCCAATGGGGACTCCCCCTCCCCCTCCCCCTCTCCCTCCTCCTCCTTCTCCCTCTCCTCCTCCTTCTCCTCCTCCTCCTTCTCCCCCTCCTCCTCCTCCTCCTCCTCCTCCTCCTCCTCCTCCTCCTCC